TCATTAAAATTGGACCAGTAGTTCCTAAGATATTTATATTTGAAGTTAATTAACTTTTATTTATATTTAAAAAAAAATCATCAGTTCAATTTTAATGATTTTATAACTATTAGAATCAGAAAGGCCTGATAAATAGCTTTAATTAATACTAAAAAAGAAGGTTTACTTAATAGCAATATCTTTTTTGAAGCACTTTTTGATATCTGGGGTAGCATTAGCAAAAATAGGAGGTGGAAATAGCAATTCTCTAAATTAATATGCAAATAAGTTGTTCAAAATAATTAATATAGCTGATAATAATAAAATTAATTTATACTTATGTAATATGAAAATCTGAACTAACATAGGTTTAATTAATTAGTCTGTGCCCCACCCCAGTACACTATGTACACATAGTATACAAATAGAATTATCATTAAGATAAAAATAATTTTTGTAGATATTTATTATAGCTTTAATAGATAGGATTTAGACATATTACTGGTAGTACTTTGTATTTAATTGTAATACTATTTAAGGCTAATTATTAACTAATTTTAATATTAAAAAATCTATTAAAATATTTTTGTAATATACTTTAGATAAATCACATTGTGTATAAAAATATTATAGCTTTAAATAGTTTTTTGAATTTTTTAGAGTCTTAAAAATTGACTATTTTTAGTTTTTTTATTAGTAAACTTTACTTATAAATTTTATATTAAAAACTATATTTAATTTTTTAAAATTTTAAACTTATATTACTTTTAATATATTAATCTAATATTAATAAATTTCATAGATTAGAATTAAAAGTTTGTTTTTAACAATTACTGATAAATTTAAACAAAATTTATTTAATAAAATTTTTTTAAAATTATAGTTAAAAACTAAAAGATTTATATAAAATACCAAAAATAGAGGTCTGCTAAAGCAAGATAACTATTAAATCAACAGTTCAGGGGTTATGCAGGTCAATTAATCATCTTGTAACTGCAGCCAATCAATGCATCCCATGTCTATTGCTTAATAATAAATTAATCAATCAGTTAATCAATATAAAAAAATTTTCTTTATCGAGTTGCCAATCTACATGTTTGAACTTCTGTAATTACTAGCTTGAAGTTCTATATGAGAATACTATTTATACAAAAAAGACTATGCAGTAAGCTAGCAGTTATAATAATAATAAAAAATTAGGAGCTGAAACTTTATGTTTAATAAAACTTTGTAGTAACAAATAAATATTCTACAAACAGTGAAGAAGTAAGTTTTGGCTAAATCCTAAGACAAATGAATAGCTTTTAACCATTAAAAACCCCTGCATAAATAAAACACTAAATTATAAAAAAAAACTATGCTTATATAATCATCATTATGGTCATGTTAACCACCTGATATTACACTAGAAATTTATACTATACTTGACTTACATGAAAGATATATAATTTCAATCAATGCTTTACTAACCCTATTTCACTTTATATTAGTTTGAATATTTCATACTAAATTTATAGAGAATAATTATAAGATAATTAGTTAGTTTCAGGTAGCAATAGTATCAATTAGAAATGTCTATAGCTTGTATATCGTAGTTCTTAAAATATATATATATAGATTTGACTTTTGCTTTAGTGTTAACTTCAGACTATAGACTTAATATAAGACTTTAACCCTACTCTTAAATTGTGTTCTCATTTATTTGACTAATAAATATTATACAACTAGATGTATCTTCATATACAACTTGTTGTTGCCTCTTTCGATAAAGCCTTTATAAAACCTCTTTGTTAAGTCATACATTTGATGCTATTATTCTCTGTCAATTATACAAAGTTATAGTCTTTTTACTATAATCTTTAAGTCCCTTGAACTACTATAAAGAGGTGTAGTTTGGGTGTGACAATTTGGTAGTAACTGTGAAATAGAAAACCTCAATTTGTAAGAAAAAAATTCTCTTGTTATTAAAAAAAAAAATCATAAAAGATATAAAACACAGATTTTGTTGATTTTGGTTTATATCAGAAATTTAACACAACTGTGCTACTAAATTAGAAGAAATTAGTAGAATACACTACTGGATATCGATATATAGCAACTAAAATTAGGATAATTGCAATATGAAACATATAACCTAAATCTAAAATTAAAAGAAACAATTAGCCTAATTATTAGACAAATGATATAATTAAAGCAACACTTATTATAAAATATATATCTTTGAGAAATCTTATTATGCTGTCTGCTTATTCTTATTGATCAATATCTCTATAATCATACTAAGCATAAACATCTGTTAGATAGAATCTCTATAAAGCCCAAAATAGTCGTAAGTATAAAGAAAAGAAGTGAACAAAATCAAAATATTTATTGTATATACCCTGAAGAGCCTATTTGTAAAAATGACTTAGGTAATACTTGTAGAATACTTCAAGTTAATAACTAGCCAGAATTAGAATCAGAATGCCTAGACAATAAAGAAGGAAGTAAAACAAGTAGTAAGACAGTAGTAAATAAACAAGGTAGTGTTAAGAAACATAGGAATGATAAAATTAGTAATATTATAGATAGTTACTGCTCATCCACATATAATAGTCCAAGTTTTGTTCTTGTGCAACTCAATAACTTTTATAAAGAAATAAGAGAATTGGAGTTTGAACATATAAATAAAACAGATAAAATTGTTAGTATAGCCTCAGATATAAATAAATATAATAGTTTAAGTATAAACAAAACAGATACTTATTATACAATAAATAGTTTTTTCAAAAACCATCTATTCAGTATGGTTTAATAGATTCTGATAAAAAATTGTCTATATTTGAAGATTCAGATTCAGACATTAATATTTGAGTAAATTCTACAAAGGAAAATAAGAGCATTAGTATAGAAATAAAAATAAGAAAAAGCTAGACAAACAATTTAAGCATAGTGCTGAACCTGGATACAGTTTTAATGTTGTTAGGAGAATCTCCTAATTATGAATATTCTCAAGAAAAGAATGATAGTAATCTTGACCCTAACATAAACCAAGAAATTGATCAAAATAAAAATTTTCGAGAAGTTCTTGTTAAAAGTCCTGAATTATGTAAAGCACATATATCCAAAACTAGTAACTTTATCAATAAGCTGAAAGAATTTGAATTTCTTAAACCAAAGGAAGTGAGTAAAATTTATAATAAATTTAGTGAATCTGATGAACTATCTAATAAAAGTTATAAAAAAAAAATGCTAGGCCTAAATATAAAAGAAATAAGAAACAAATTAGTTTAATAAATCAAAGTAAGTTTCAAACAAGGAAGAGCAATAAGAATTTTGGAAACCCTTTTAATAAAAATCTTGGAAGTTCTAGTGATAAATATAAAAGTCTCAGTATTTTAGAAGATCTTGAGACTGAAAGTAACCAAAGTAAAGGTTTAAGCCTTGAAAGGTTATACTATAAAGATCACATGACTAATCATTAATTTTCTTGAAACAAGTCTAACCTAGTAACTCTTGATTGTATTGAGAGTTCTAAAAACAGTAAAAATATAACATTAGTTCAAGTACTAAAGTTAAAGATTAAGCAAAACAATAGTAAACCTTACAATAAATGTAATACTGCTATTAAATCACTTGATATAGGTGTAAAGAAAGAAGAAGGCTGTGAGTATATAAACTTTGATATAATTAAAAAAAGAACCTGATGCAATATTGTAAAACAGAGTAGTTAGAGTAAGTGTATGGTCACATTAACAACTAAAGGAAAATTATGCTCAGCTTCTTATAAACTAACAGCTTACTAATTTCTTTTACAAATAGATGAGTTAAAGAGAATTTATAATTTACTGTTCTGAGAAATAACTTATTTAAGAGTCAAACATATAACAAAAAGTATGAACCTAATTCTACTAGCTTTTAATAACTATTTACTATCATTACTTAAAAGGTTGTATAAAGTTCTTACCCAAACAAACAATGCAATGACTCAAGGGAAATATTTAATAAGATTAAAGAATCTGTTAACCCAGAGGTTAAATAATTGTTTAAATATAGAATGCAGTAGAACTATTCTTATCTATTCAAGTATCTATAAACCACGTATTTGAATCCTAACCAGATCATTAATAAGTATTGCACATAGTTAAGAGTTTCAAAAATTATTTTGTATCTGTATAAGTTATGAATATAGCTTGGTACTAGTGAGAATTAATAAATACTATGCAATAGAAGACTTGAATTTTGCTTAGAAACAGAAATAAGTCAGGAAATATCTGCATCAATTAAGATATCAAAGTGTATCCAATATTTTATTTTATTTTGGTAAACCTGCCAGTAAGTCGTGTACTGTAGCCTAGTATCAGCAGAAGATAAATACTATACAAAAATAAAAATATTGTGGAGAGAATTAGTTCAAAATTCACGAAAGTAAAAATATGTAAAGAAATTGATAGTTACAGAAAGGAAGCAAGAAGTATAAGCAATGCTTGTGAAATATTTAAAGTCAGTATTTGTTATAAAGAAAGAATTTATTCACAGAAGCTTATAATTTAGTGGGAGAGAAATTGTTATATTAGAAATTTATACTATGACTTGACTTACATGAAAGATATATAATTTCAATTAATACTTTACTAACTCTATTTCACTCTATATCATTTTGAATATTTTGTACTAAATTTATAGAGAATAATTATGAGATAATTAGTTAGTTTCAGATAGCAATAAGCCCTGAATAATTATAATAGAGATTATATTTGGGTATCTTAGTAAATTTTTTTTTATTAGCATTTTTATATTAGTATATATTAGCTTTATTTTAAATATTAGATTATAATATTTGATATTGTTATATTTTTTAAAATATATACTTACTTATCAACAAAATATTAGTTCAAAAAAATTTGCAATTTCTAAAAAAAAAAAAAAACAAAACTTACTTTATAATTTTTATTAGCATATTTCAAATATAAGATTTATAATATTTATTTTATTAGCATAATTTTAAATATAACCTATTTAGTAATTAGCAGTTTTTAAATATAATCTTTTTATATAACACCTACTTTTCAAATATAACCTTTTTTAAAAAAAGACCTATATTAGCAATTTTTCAAATATAACCTCTATTAGTATTATTTAGAGTTCTGTAGCAATAGTATCAATTAGAAATATCTATAGCTTGTATATTGTAGTTCTTAAAATATGTATATATAGATCTGGCTTTTGTCTTAGTGTTAACTTCAGACTATAGTCTTAATATAAGACTTTAACCCTACTCTTAAATTGTGTTCTCATTTATTTGACTAATTAATATTATACAACTAGATATATCTTTATATACAACTAGTTGTTGCCTCTTTTGATAAAGCTTTTATAAAACCTCTTTGTTAAGTCATATATTAGACACTATTATTCTCTGCCAATCATATAAAGTTATAGTCTTCTTACTATAATCTTTAAGTCCCTTGAACTACTATAAAGAGGTATAGTTCAGGTGTAACACTGAAAACATTTTTTTAATATAAGTAATAATAAGCAGTGAGCTCTTGTTAATTTTAATTTTTAATAATATTTGGTCAAGATTTAATAGATACAAGTTGAATCATAGTAATAGTATAAATGTAAACTTTCAAAGCTCAAGAAATTAAGCAAAAAAACTTCTTTTGTGAAATACTTTGTATAATCTACTATTGATTGTAAAACTAGAATTAGAATGAATGGTTAGCAGTTTTAAATATATTTTAAATTGAGAGAGTAAGAGTAGAAATAGAATATTTTTTAATATAATATTTTTTTAAAAAATATTATAATATAATATTTTATTAAAATAAATAATATACAAGATACATTCTTATTTAATTTTTCACTATATATATATATATATATATATTTTACTAATGCTAGGTTCATAAGCAAATGAAGCTATTCAGTTCATAACTAGTTACTATTTAAATTTTTTTTATTTTGCGTGCAAGTAGAATCTAAATGTTTATTCAAATGAACTGACTTCAATATTCATGAGTTTTTATTAAATATTAATCTTGATTGGAAAAAATATGACCAATCTTGTATATGTGTTGTATGTCAAAATAGAATTATTGTAGATTTAGAATCCACTTAGGTTGATTTTAAATAAACAGATTATAATAAAATTCTAAAATATGCCTGAGTCGTTAAAGAATTCCAATTTAACTTATAATAAAATTAAGTGTATTCCAAATTATTTCATCAATTA